TCTTCAATAAGTCGTTGGGAGTTCAAGAGTTTCATCATTTATTTAGCAAGCTGGGCATCTGTAATCTACATACACCACCTTGAGGGGGAGTATTAGCAGAGTTATATTGTAACTTCATTTTCTGACGTTTTTCTCAACCCACACAAAATAATTTATTTTGTGGCGGTTTCATTGCGAAGGTTTGCAAAACTGCCACAATTTGTACAATTTGTGGTGGCTATTAACTCCAACAATTTTATTACATTCATCTTATACTCTTATATAATGAAAATATTTGTACTTATTAATTTATAGTGTGAGTTACATCTTTTCAACAGATATCAGGTTTGAAATGTCCTGCAAATACTTTTTCATTTTATAAACCCTCGGCATAAGTGCAAAGACATATTTACATTTAGTAATTGTAGATATCTAATTTTTGCCCCCACGATCTTCATAGTCATGTATTGATGGCATAAATTGAATACTCCTAAATCATAAGAATAATATTTTATTTTTATTTGGTTTTAGATAATTTCACTTTTGAAAGGAAATAGAAAATTGCAAAAATTTGCACATGAGTTTTCTTTTAGTTTTATAATTTTAGGAGTTTCACATTTGCATACATAATTTTAGGAATTTGCAACTCTATTATATATTTTATCTAATATAAGAATTTTAAATTTTTTAAATATTAGATGAATAATTTTAATTAGTTTTCTGTGAATTTGTTCTGTATTTTAACTTATTGTTTTTCTGAATGTTTTGTTTGGTCCTTGATCTCTTTATTTATTAACTGTATAGTGTATAATAAAATTAGACTAGTATTAGTAACCATGCGATGCGCGGACACAAATCATGTCAAATGTGATTGGATTATCTGAATTATGTATAAATAACCTTGAAATATAAATCTTTCGGATAAAAAATATATATAATTGTAGATATTTATTAAGAAGTGAGGCATTAAACTATTTTTCAAATCTCGTAAAAGATAACTTTTACATTTTCCTCCTTGTACATTATCTTCCCTACTATGAAAATTAATAATTTTTTACATTAATATTTTACCTACAATTGAAATAATATCATATTTTATTTTAAATTATATCCTTGAGTTAGTCTAAATTATTAATACATGAGTTTTTTGATTATTATGTTTCAAATCTGTTGAGTTTTCTCAAAATTATCTTTTGTATTACATTCAATTAAATTTTCTTTCGTTTTAAGTTTCATTATTAAATTTGACTTTAATTTTTATAAGAAAAATTGCTTGCATTAGACATTTATTTTATATTTTTTATTAATATTTTCGTCTAGTAACACTTTAATTTCGTGGTCCTATCATATTTTGAGCGTTCTCATCTATAACTTAAGAACTTTTTAATCTTAAGCTTAAATAGTCTTTACCTTCCATTTCTAATATTGAATTTTTAATTAATTTTATTAATTTTACGTCATCTAATATATAGTATTATCACCTTTTCATACTGCTTTTATTAACTTGCCATTTATTTAATATCATTATCCACTACTATAATATAGACAAATATATATATTTTTTAAATTTATAAATAAAAATTTATTTTATTTAAAATTATAGATCAAAATTATTAGATTATTTAAATTTATCAATAGTATTTATATAGGTCAAGATTCTTAGATTATTTAAATTTTCAATAGTATTTATAAATAGTGTACATTTTTTACTATATTTTATTTTCTAAATTAATTCTCTATATAAATATTCTCACATTATCTCTAATTTATTTTTATTATTTAATTTATTTTTATTTTATCTATTAGACTTGAGTTATGTAGTTGTATTCACAATATGGCCCTTTTAGCGTAATAGGGAAAACAATTCTCAGCTAAATTTAAATAAGGTTTATCTTTCTTTTTTCTTTATGATGAATTTTTAAATTTTTTATTTTCTCTATTTATTTTTTATTTTTGCTATAATATTATTTAACCAGATGTTGACTTATGTGTAGAAGATCTCGGATGTAAATTCTGATGGTTCGGATAGTTTCGTTAGGTGATTTTGGACTTAGGAGCTTGTTCATAATATAATTTGGAGGTCCGTGGTATGCTTGAATTGGTGAAATTAAAAATTTGGCGTTTTCCGGTCGGTAGTGAAAACCTTGATATCGGGGTTGGAATGGAATTTCGAAAATTGGAATAGGTCTATTATGTCATTTGTGATGTGTGTGCAAAATTTCAGGTCATTCGGGTGAGGTTTGATAGGTTTCGGCATCGTTTGCAGAATTCAGAGCATTTGGAGGTCGAGTCGAGAGGCAAGGGCATCACGGGTTAGAGTTTTGTCCGATTTGAGGTAAGTAATGATCGTAAATCTTGTCCTGAGGGTATGAAGCCTCGGAGTTCACATCATTTCACTATTTTGAGGTGACGACACGCTAGTTGACGAGCGTAACGGCGTGCACCATTGGGGATTGTGACTTGATCCATCCCGTAGCGACTATTGAGTTGCGTATTTGACTGAAAACTATTTGATACTTATATGCTTTGGAAAGTATTACTATGTTTTGGGTTGAATGCCATATTTGGGCCTCGTGCCAAGCTGTTGGACTCTTAGGGGCTTTTTACTACTATTTCCTCACTATTTTAGTTTAAGATTTGTACTCAGTCATACTATATTTTATTGATTTTATAACTCAGTCTTATTTACTCCGTTTTGATGCATAAAATGATATTTGGGCTGAGCACCCTACTGTATTGATAGCCCGAGTGGCTTGAGAGGTTTCTGACTAAGTGAGGCCGAGGGTCTGTGTTGTGAGGATATCCTAGGATCGGGTTGCGCGCCGCAGCATGTTGTACTGATTTGTGATATATGAGAGGCCGAGGGCCTGATTTATTATGCCACGAGATGGCTTGTTATAGCGTTTGGGCTGTAGGAACCCCTACGGAGTCTGTACACCCCCAGTGAGCGTGGGTACCATAAGAGAGTGATATGATGTTGCCCGAGGGATTGTTCTTGATTCATGTTATGCTCGAGGGGCTGATTACGAGTGATTGTGAGGTTGTCCGAGGGGCTAATTTTGAGTGATGTTATGCCCGAGGAGCGGTTTATGATACATGTTTTGCCCGAGGAGCTATTTATGATTTTTATCACTTTTACTCTAAACTTCATTGAACCTCTGTTGAAATTATTGTAAAAATATCTTCAAATAATTTTTACTGAAAAATGGATTTTAAATGAGATGATTTGACTATATTCTGTTTTGAAGGCAGGTTGTACTTACTGTGATTTCATGACGTAGATTTATGTGTTTCTTACTGTTCAGTCTTTATTTACTTTTAGTACTTACTGAGTTGGCCTACTCACATTACTCCCCGCACCTTGTGTGCAGATCCAAGAATTGTTGGACGTGATAGTGAGCGCTGATCTTTCATCCGTCTTGGATATTTGGAGTCGGCAAGGTAGCTGCATGGCGTTCGCAGCCTTGCTCTTCTCTCTCTTATCTTCCTTAGACTATATTAGTGTTTTCCAGGCTGTGATGGTCTTAGTTGTATTCAAACAGCCCTTAGTATATGCTCGTGACTTGTGACACCCCGATGTCGGGCCTTTATCATTTCCGCACTTATTTAGACTTACGCTGTGAAATTTTATTAATTAATAGCTTGAAACATCTTTATTATGAAATATCGATTTTGTTTTGGGATTGTGTAGGCTGGCCTTGTTCATGATAGGCGTCATCACGACCGGGTTGGTTTGGGGTCGTGACACTTTTAAACTTAAAATAACCGTCACCCAATTAAGATAATAATCATAAAATATATTTTCTTATTTGTTTGAGCACATTATATCTAATTGATGTAATGATATTTCCACTAGGGCTACTTATCGGGCGGATCAGGCGGTTATTTGCGTTTAACGGTTCGACTTATCAGTTATTGATTTTTAAATGTATTAATCCTCTAGCCACCCAATAAGATATCGGAGAGATTGGTATCAATTTAGCTATTATCGGGCGGTTATCAAGCGGTTTATCGGTCTATTTATATATCTTTTATGTAAGTTTACATATTTTCCTGGAGATGCATATGATATTCTTTGACTTCTAGAAAAATAATTATGCAATTAGATGTTTAGTGATTTGACTGAAATTATTATTGATTTCATCCACTGAATTAATGAGATGCATTATTACCTTAATTAACAGTATAATACAATGGTGAGTGATGACCACTAAGGCACTAATCGGGAAAAATAAAAAAGAAAAGGCATGTATTTTGGCTACCAATACCAACACTTGTTAATGGGAAATTGGGAATTGATACTTGACGCTTGACACTTGATAGTAGCTATATCATTAGGATGGAAGTCATATATATATACTTAAATGGTTAACGAATTATCCGTTAAGAAAATTGAATAATCCACCTCCAAACCGATAAGTCATTAATAAAAAAATTTCAATCTGTTTCCCGTCCGTTAAACCGTCAACCCGATATCAATAAGCCATTAAGCTTCGGTTTCGGTTCGGATTTCGATTTCGGTTCGGTTTTGAACACCACTAATTTCCACTATCATTTTACTTTTTTATGTAATGTTTCTAACTATAAGAATCCTTATTTTAGAAAAGCTTTCAAAATCTATTTACTATAAATATTTGTGTCAATCTTGATTGATATTTTACTATTAATTGAATCTGACCAAATCTAATTTGTCTTAATACTCATTAGATTAAATTTGTCTAAATCTATTTAGATTATGCTTTAAAAGTGTCAAGTGGCATTTTCTCAATAAGTAACTTGGTTTAATGACATGCTTCACTACCCTCTTTTTAATATAATATAGATATAGATTCAGATATTTAACTATATTTAGGTATGAATATTATCACTTTAGTTTTACTTTCTCATGTTTCATTTTTTAAAGGTAAAAAAAAGAAAATAAAATAGAGAAAACGTAAGCTGCAAAAAGACAATTTAGGATGCCAGCTTCAAATTTTACTTTACAATTAGGTGGTAATTAGGTAAAAGACTCAATTTACTCAGAGCCCAACTTCTTAATGCACGTTCTCTGAAGTTTAATTAGGGCTCAAATTCCCTCTCTTCCACTCACGAGTTCTTTCAGGAGATGGAGGAAGTTATATATTGACACCCTCTCTTCATCATCTTCTCTACAAAGGAAAAAATTAATGGTTCCTTCTCCGTCTAATCTGACAGCGTGGGATCATTAGCCAACCAGCTTATTGCACAAGGCAAAAGGTACAAAGCAGATAATAACAAAGAAGATTCGTTTTACTATAGTTGTTAATTCATTTTATTTGTTGTTTTCATTTGTTTTACTCGTATAGTGATCTTCTGTACCTTCTGATCTACTCATCTCCAACGTTGATTGAAAGGTATTTCTCATATTTGTGTTCAGTCTAGTTTACTTCTTTCTCGTAACGGGTCGTGTATTGCTAATTTTTTTTTTATCAATTTCTAATAAAATACTCTTTTTTCATTGTTTCAGCAAAGTGTCATGGAGAGTGCGCCTACTACGTTCGTGGATGTAGAGTATCCTTAGATGGCTGCAATACCAATCACCAAACAAATACTTAGAATTTTTATTATATTTATTTTTTTGTGGAACCACACTAAATTATGCAATGTTTGGATTATTGTATTACTACTTTAGTTTGGTATGATTTTGGATTTTCAATGTTTTTTCATAAACGTCTCATTAGAATTTGATTAACGTCATGTAAGCATATAAATTATTTATTAAATTTTAGTATTTAAATTTTTGTATAGAAAAAAAAAATAATTTTCAACAATAGAAAGTATTTACTATTATTAACTTTTTTTTAACAATTGAGATTATATTACGGAGGTTATGAATCCCCACAAATTATTTTTTTTAAAGCATTGAAATCTTATTGTGAAGGTTATAAGCTGCCACTACTTGCCTTTAGAAACCGTCACAGATTAAAAATTTATTTTGTGGCGGTTGTTATGGAGGTTTTAAAAAATCGTCGCAAAGTGGCTCGTGGCGAAGATAACGGTGGAATTTCTTAAAACCCCCCTAACTCATTTTGTGGGGGTCAAAAATCGCCACAAATTTAAAAAAAGACCTCCACAAAATAAGTAATTTCTTGTAGTCAAATATGTAGAAGCCGAAAAGAAGAAAAAGAAATTGAGAGGAGTGGAAGTATCATTATCAGAAAATGATGGGCTCAACCTAGGTGTCAGTTTGTCATCACCTTTTTTCACATGTAAATAAGAGGCAAAAAGCACCAACTTTGCCCTTCTCCTTTTCCTGCGTGCACAAGGAGAATTTTTTTGTTTTTGACTAAATTTCTTATGCAATCCAAGATTTTGAGTTCCAAAATTTATATTTGTCAAACATAAATAAATTTTACTCAATTTGTTAATCGCGTGGGACATAAACTAAATATTTATCGTGCACAAATATCAGCTACGCATTTGCATCTCGCTACCGACAATTTAAGCCTCCAGTTAATTGAGCAATCTATTGAATACTCCATAGAAAGGACCTGGGCCCACAAAAAAGCCTAAAAATGGATGGATTGGTGCCTTATGGGTCCCACCCCAACTATCATCCCTTCAATTGATAGGACCACAGTTTAAGATAATGCTGTTGTGAGTTGACGCGTGCACAGTGTCACGTACTTGTGGGCCCCGTTTTGATCGATAATGAAATTCTTCTTTTTTTATTTTTTTTTATTTTTTTTTTACGTTAGAGACATTAGTTTTTTGTAGGTAGGAGAGATATCAGTTTATGAGTTGATCGCGAAAGAAAAATAAAGCCGATTTAAGATATTGCCTCATTAATATAATATCTAGTTTTCTACTCCCTCTGCCTTATTTTATTGACTTTTGATCCAAAAAATACACCGAACTATCAAAAATATGATAAAAATACTGGTTCACTTTTATGCCTCTATCCTGTTAATGGATATCCAAATCTCATATTTACCCTTTTAAAGCGTACTCACTTCGTTTCAATTTATGTGAATCTGTTTGACTGAGCACAAAATTTAGTCAAAATATGAAGACTTTTGAAATTTATGGTCCTAAACAAGTCAAAAAAGGGCCCAGAGTATTTGTGTGGTTATAAAAGCCTTTCATTAAGGGTAAAATTGTAAGTTTAAGCTAAATTGTTTCCAAATTTAGAAAAGAGTCCTTTTTTTTGGAACGGACCAAAAAGGAAATTGGTTCACATAAACTGAAACGGAAGGAGTACTTTTTTTGCTGTGATGGACTCCATCTCCGAAAAAAGGCGTCTTAATTATNGAAAGTTAAAGTATATATGTGTGACTAATTGTTACTCTTAATAAAGTGAGAAAAAAATTCACACAAACTTCAAGTCAAATCACAATAAAGACAAATATAAGGTGATTTCTTTTTATCTATATGTCTAATTTTTACATGACCGAGTTATTCATGAGTAGCAGGTACTTATGAAATAGTTGAGTTAATTACGTGCAAATCGAATCGAACATATATATATCAAATCTGAGAATTAATGCGTCTATCATTTCTTCGATTTCCGTTTGTGCTGGTCGAAAATGATCATATGTTACAAGGGGCATATATGAGACTTGGAGGTCCGTTAATGGAGTAGGGGCATAATTGGGCTAATTTGCTAACAACAATGTCATTTTTATCCTATTTATAATAGTTCATGGACATTGTTGAACCAAAAGTCAAATGAAAGGTATGTTCGAATTATTTTCCATAGTTCAAGGGCATTTTTGCCTTTTCCGTTAAAACAATATGGTCCCAGGGGACAATTGCTTGCAAAACTTTCATCTGTTATTTCAAGAAGTTTGAAGCTCTCCTTTCAATTCCCGCAACTAACTTCACATTGGTTATGGTTTGCACGTATGTGAATATTGTTTTTCTTTTTTGATATTTGGAAATATTGATATTATTATATTGGGAAAAAAGGAGAGACTAGGAAAAAGACCCCTACGTATCCCATCCATAAGCCACAAAAACATGATGTAATTAGTCCTTAGACATGAATTAAATACGTTGTTGATTAGATACAGGCCCCGTAGCCAGTGGCTGAGCCACGTTAATCTAATTAAGGGAGTCAAGCGATATTTTTTGTTGAAAAACTACATCGTATGGTTAGTTCAATTTTTTCTTAATATATATATATATATATATATATATATATACCTTATTTGTTTGTGTATTTATTTTATTTTTTTGATATTTCTATACCATTTAATAAATGTTTTGCATCCGCAGCTGCCTGTAATCTCAACTAAAATGTACAGTATCCTTCTCATGGATACATGTGGGAACTAGGCTGCTAGAAAGTGCCTCCATTGAATTGATTGAGAGGGCCACTTTTTCACATAATTTCAATTATTTGGTTGTGTTCTATATCGTCCGTATATATAGCACATAGGCCCTCCTTATTTTTTGGTGGTATATCTACTTCTTGGGAATTGGCCGTTAGTAGCCAGAAATCATGCAGAAAGGTCTTCGACTAAAAGACTCCATCAAACTGTAACAGCAAGAATTCAATATCCAACTTGGTAAATCCCCGCTTTCTAATTGTTCCAAAACAATTTATGGAGGAAATCATGAGAAGACAAGGATTAAAAAACAAGGACAACATGACAATAAACTAGCATTTTTAGTTCTTCAAGTATTGATAAATTTGGATTTTGGTCCTTGTGATTTGTGGTTAACCATATTTATCCTTCAGTTAATTAATACGTGCAGTTTTGATCCCTCCGATATTGAATTATAAAAAATTTAACGAATTATTAAGTGTTAAACAATTCAATAACAATGCATTATGTTAAATTTACATTGCTGCTTAGAGCCGTCAATATGCGCTTGGCACGTTGGGCCAGTCCGGCCCGGCCCGGCCCGTAATTTAGCAGGTTTGGGCTAGAATTTTTGAAGCTCATTTAAAAACGAGGTTTTTAAGCCCGTGGCCCGTGAAGCTTGACTGAGGCTGGGCTGGGCCAGCCCGTGGGCCTAATAAAAATATTTATTAAAATATATAAAATATAAAATGTATACTGCCTCTAGCGATGGAAAATCAGAATTGAATCTTTACTTTGAGGAACCAAAGCTTGATCTTGAGAAGTTTCAAGAGATGTATTGGAAGGACCATTCTAGAAAATATCCGAATCTTTCAGTGATGACGCGTGATGTACTTAGTATTTCTATTATCCCACTGAAGCATCGGAATCAACATTTAGCATTGGTGGGCATGTTCTGACAAAGTACAGAAGTTGCATCCATCATGAAAATGTCCAAACACTTGTTACTACTCGAAATTGGCTGCACGACTTTTTCCAAAATCAAACTGGTACTTTTTTTTATGTGCATTTGAATATTATTAGTTTTTAAAATTTTATTATTCATATTTAACTAATTAATATTGCATATGAATTGTAGATGTAGATGAAAGTGAAGATGTTACGACAACCTTATTACAAGCGGATTCAAATTGTTTGATTAAGATGATGTGTTGGATAGCCCATAAGCGTCATGGACGTTCTCTTAGAATTGTTTATTTTGAGTTTTGACTTTTAGTGAATGAAATACAGTCTTGTCTTTTACTTTTTTAACGTTTATTGTGGTATATTTGGAACAGTGTAAAAAGTTATTAAGTTTTGCGAATTTTTTCCAATAAGATATTTTGTAATTTTTAAATATTTATCTCTTTTTTTTAGGTTAGAACTTATAATCGATGCAAAATATAAAATTATATTTTAAAAAATTATGGGCCGGACCGTGGGGCCCCGCAGCCCACATAGGGCCGGGTTGGGTTGACCATCATAAGGCCCATCAAAATAGTGGGCTAGCCAAACCCAGCCCGTCAATTGTCAAAGCCCACGTGGGCTGCGCTGGGCTAACCCCGCCCGACCCATATTGACAGTTCTATTGCTGCTCCATATTTGAGAGTAATGTAATTTTAAAAATCTATATCTATATCTATATCTATATCTATATTTATATCTATATTATTATAAAAACACAAATATTTCACGCTAAATATTGAACGACCAAAATATCCTTAAAATGTTGAACGACTTTTATACCCTTAATTATTTATATTAATTTTCGCTATAAGTAATAAGAAAAGGACACAATTGAAAATACTACACGTTAAGATATAGAGTTGTGATAGAACATGGATTTAACCGTACCAATGAAATAAGAATTGATTTTAGAGAAGGCACGTATTTATCACGTAAGAAAAAAATAGCAAACATTAAGGAATCAAATTGCTAATGTTTCTCGAGTTTTATTTTGTTCTTGCGTCAAACTTTTTTCTTAAAATTTAGTGTTGCTTCCCTAGAATACCCGTGTGCTCTATTTACAACAAATTTCTTTATTTTATAAAATTGCCTTATTTAGATAGTTAGCAGTATATCTTTTGGGAAATCAAAGTTTGTAAGATTTATCAAATCTATATCTATACCTAATATCAATATCTACATTATTAAAAAATTATGAATATTATTTCTTTTATATCCTCTAAAAGTTAAATTATTTCTTTAGGAAGATAAGTAACGCTTGGATAATATTGTAACATTCAAACTCTCTTCCTAATTAATATTTATGATTTTGAAATTAACTTAATTTTATTTTCTACGTCCATATTGGATAGACTTTGCAATGGATCGGGAAGTGTTGCAATTCT